GGCTCTAGTGGAAAAAATAATGCGAGATGCATCGGTCACTGCAGGTGCTCAAATACTGTGAGACGTGTTTAAATGTCCCCCCCCCAGGGCAACTAAGAGAAAGGTACAATCGAGAAGTCTGGACTTGGAGGACTTGTACAACTGCAAGTAATGAACAAATTAAAACTTAATGCTAACTAATAATGAAAGAACTAATCTTATCACAAGGCAGTCGTAGTACCTTAAGATCAGTTCCTATTTTCACTCCTGTCAAAGTGTCAACTTGTCTCTTAAATCGCAAACAGAAGCTTTGTACGAAATGACATTAGCAGACTAATACCGAGACACTTTAAAAACAAACAAACAAAAAAACAAAACCTAGGCAAAACTAATCTTAATGAATGAAGCATTCATAATCTGAAATGGTGTGCTATATCAAAATACAATTATATGATGATTTTAGGATGCAATGAGACACAAACAGCAAAAACAATAAATAACACTGAAACGTTCAAATGCGTAGTAATACACAAAATCGAAAGAAAAACTGGCAACAAAGCAACAGACATCCAGACAAATGAGAAAAAACGAATATGAGAAAAACAAAAAGCAAATTTCTTACTTATACGGCATCCTCGCTTCAACCAGTATGGCCGAACCGTAGGCGACGCTTCATCAGTCTGAACCGTACAGCTCATCGACGATACCTCAGCAACAGGTTCAGCGTCCAGGCGGGTCCTCTTTAAAGCGGTTTAAATATAAAACATTTCGTTGTTCAAAATAAAATACTTTAACTTTCATTTGAGTTAATTTAACGCTATGAATCAGACAACATCTTTTAATTACGCAAATACAATATTCCTGAATGATTATCAAAAAAATATATTCTACATGAAATTATTGCATTTTTAAAAATTTCAGTCACACTCCACAAATACAACATGAGTGCTATGAACACTTCAGCTCGAACCCTCTATTAAAAAAAGGAGTAACAGTACTATTCATATAATCCTAATGTACCTTGATCGACTTATCAATTGTCTCCAACTCGAACTCTTTTCACAGCTCCGAGGCACCGGCCACCAAAGGATATTACATTATAGTATGATGTTATTAAAAACTTTATGCTGTCTAAAATATGCGGTGAAAACGCGGAATATGCATTGATAACTCTAAATGACCAGAAGGCGTTAAGGACTGCGGTTCGACCGTAATCAAGAGTGCCAAAATACGTTTATCACTGATCAGTACTGTACAGAGAGAAAAAAGCTGTAAAACAAGTTGGCGTTACAAACACTTCCAAATATGAAACGAAACCCACGTATATCATCGTGCATCATTGCCGAGTGCGAAAGCACGCCTCGTTGTTTACAAAGATTAACAGCCACAAAGTTAACAAAAAAATTCGAAAAGTTTTAAAAACTTTCGTTAAGAAAAGTCGGAAAGCTTAGGTGTATGGAAAAAATACCAATGCCGGAGTAGCAAGTAATGGCTGATCAAATCAGGCTGCACAACGTTACGAAACCTGTACTGGCGCTTTGATGCCCCAAAAGACCATTTGTATAGGTCACATTTAGATGCCATTGTAGCATCCTCAGTGCAAAGGAACATCACATTTTACTGGCTAGAGGAATATCTCGTATATGATTAATAAAGCTTCTTGGTGGCTAATCCGTTTCTCCTCGAGCAGCGGCTCCAGAAATCGCCCATACACCTGAATAAACAAATTAAACAACGTTGTTAGACCATAGAATCTTAGAGAGCCATTTAAGCACGAGATGGTTCCATGATTTTATAGTCGTATATAACTTTATTGAATAGAAAAACACTCTGCTCATACTCCATTATGGGTCAGGGACTAGAATCTCTGAAACGCATTCGTGCAACGAATAATATAGCGCTAACCGTTGTGTTCGTTAGCAAGCCCAAAACATACCCAGACTGAGCTGCTCCAAATTAGGCCACAGGCCCCATTAACCTAGATGGTAAGAGGGATTCGGGGCATTGATGCGTCTCCCTGTCTTTAATAGTCGTCCAGTAGAACAAATTCAGGAAATAGGGATGAAATTATATGACAAGAAATTTTCATAGATTCGGGAGAAATATTACCGAATTTCGAAAACAAGATAATAAACACGAACAACAAAAGAAAACCACTACGATGGATGGATATATACTATATACTATTCTTCTGTTGTTCGCTGCTACAATCATCATTAGCCATTGCCGATCGAACTGCTTGAGTAAGGCATTTCTAAGACTTCGAAATATACTTCTCATTTTTTCATTCTCGTGCATCCTGATCCAATAAACTCCTTCAACGCATCATATCAATCATATGGAGGTCTTTCTAAGGCGATTTACTCTCTCAAGGAATCCAGTCTAGTCTCTCTGGTTCAGTGGCTGTCGATCTGTGACTAGTTGGCACAATCGTTTCAGATGTTTGCTTTAAACACAGGATATGCAAGGATCGATTTCGCTCGAGAACATTCTTTATCTCATTGATCAATTCCCTTGAGCAAAACATTTACCACACTGACTAAGACCGAAGATGCTCAGTTAGTAGAGTGTCAAACTCGAAGCCACTAGGTCCCGAGTTCAAGCCCCAACCGGGTCACTCTCCCTTCAACCCTGAAGATGGAAGAACGCGTACGACTCTTGTCACATGGCTGTAGACTCTGCTTTAAAAAACTAAGGTACTTCCGGGTGTTGGCATAGAAACAGAGATCAGCACCGACTTCAACTTCATGACAAGAAGCGGCGCCAAAAACGACCCATTCAAAAAAATGTATAATGACCGACAATCCAAACTTTGACCAATTTTCTTTTTAGATTCCTTTTGTCCTTTCTGGGCCAGTGATGGTCGTTTCTTTCTGGAACATACCTGCTTCACTCAGACAATGACATCACAGACTCTTGCTTATGCTCTTGCCTATTCATTCGTCTTCCCATCTTTTTTTGTTATTCCAAAAATTCTTGTTTAAATGCTGCCATGAGTAGCCTCCAATTTATGAAAAGCCTTATAATTAAAGTCTACGTTTCGTACCCACAGCGAGGACCTTGCAGCACACACAGATCGAATGCTTCGTTTCGAGCAGGAGGAAAGTTAAGTGTAAGAAAATTTTCAATTCCCTAAAGTAGCCTGTGGTATTTTTATTCTTTCGTTGACCTAACACAATCGATCGTCTCGTGCAGAGATGAGCCGTTGCGCCTATGTGCTCACTGGTTTGATTTAGAGTCACAACCAAGTACAAGGTAGTCGGGGAAGTAATTGGAGCTACCTCACAAACAGCCAATTCCAAATCGAACAAAACAGCAGTCTGGATTCAGTTTGTCGAATATAAGTGGAAAACATCGCACAGCCTGAAAGAATCGCAAAACTGCGATTGTAACGCACGTCATTATGCAGTTATGCATGTTGTCAAGGAGTCCCCGAAAAACGGTCGTTCAGCACAAACGTGCTATAAATTTTATATTCGTAGAAAAAGGAAATGTAGCTGTAGTTCAATACAACAGAGTGATGCGGTTTGGCATCTACGCACTACAAATGCAACAATACCGCGAAACCTTGGCCTGTTCAAGGGTCCTAACCTAAACTGTTAAAGGCAAGGGGACGATGAGATTACAGCTTTGTTAATTTGGGGAAGAGGCATGTATATTCCAATAAATGCATACAAATCGCTTAAACCCCGCAGAATACCTTATTTGAATAGAAATCTCTCACGTCAGGAAATTTCACCGTACTGGGGGCAGCAGTGCGATTCCTGGTCTCCATGCCTTGACCGTTTTCAGTGACCTCCATCGGTTCTGAGGCATCAAGACGAGCGGCTGCTGCTGACGACGTTTCAGCGACCACCGTCCTTATACTTTTTTCCTCAAGAAGCTTTTCTTCCAAAGCCATCTTTTCCTGCTCCTGAAACATGAATCAACAGGAGCGTCACAGGAATCAATAAAAACAAATCCCCAAACCATGAACTTCAGCTGTGTCTTAAGACTGTTGATCGTGGCACGATGTTCAACTTCAGCCGCCTGCTGCTTCATGCGAATTGCTTGCATCGCAGCGCATGACTCGCTTTGTTTTTTCAGCTCCTCGCGATCACGAGTCGCTTTCCATTCCCGTAAGATTTTAATTTCGCCTTCTTTCACCGTTAGCTCTTCCTTTAGCTTCTGAGCCTGAAGTTTACTCAAAAATTAATTAAACAAACGCAGTAGTTAAAGAATAAATAAAGTATAAAGTGACAGTCGCAACGAACCTTGTTTCAAATGGCAGGGAAGGCGATTCGTACAGGCCATGGCTCGTAATAACAACGAAACAGTGGAGAAGAGTATACCAACTAACTTCGTGGTAGCCGGTCAAAAGCCCGGACGATAAAGGAAGAAGGTTAAGGACAGTGCAAAAATTTCCAAAAAAATGAGAAACAGCTGCCAGTCATAGTATTGCAGTTAAAGAGCGTTATATTTGCTCAGTTGTCGAGTGAGTTAACAACGGGCGCACAGGATGTTGAGAACTAAAAAAGATGGTGAATTCGGCTACCGGAACCTTCCAGCACCTGCTTGCATAGCAGCACGACGATGGCTACCAAAAACAAAGAGGAACAAGGCGAAGGTACGTCAGCAACAGAATCGCAACCAATTTTGAACGAATCATGCACAGAACCGTAATGCCATTTTGACACGTTTGGTAACATTTGACAAGAGCGATACGGACAGTGGGAACTCACAGTCAGAAACTGGAACATATCCTCAGTCAAAGGATGAAACATAAGCTAACTGGTGACACCACAACTAGCTCTGTTCAGCTTGATACAGCTTGACTCCAATCAATGAGGCAACAGGGCACTGAAATTCTGAACCAAACCTGTGTTTTTTTACTCAAGCAGAGAATCTATCACAGATGCTCAGTTGAGTGTGAGTATTCTGACAGAAACTAGTTTGGTTCACAGGAGTATTAACTGAATGGTTACAATGCTCCAGCTGAAGTTGAAACATACAAAAGTTTTGATTTTGTTACAAACCTATGTCTAATTTGGAGACAACGTATGATCTCCTTGTAAAAGGAGGCATCAATTAATTATTACCATAGTTTTCTCAGAGAATGACAAATGGTAAAAAGAAAGTTGGAGAGTACTTTTATCCATTTCTAAGGCTCATACCGACACAGTTCCGTAGATCACTTGAAGGCACCAGGTCTTCTGATTATATGGCTGGCAGCAAAAGAAAAAAGAAAATAGTTTTGTTTCCAACAATTTCAAGGCTTCGACTGAATTAGCATCGGTCATCATAAAAAAATGAATTCCTTGGAATTCCAAAGAATTCTTGTCAGAAAAACTATTTTCTTATTTCTTGTACTAACAACCATAAATCACACGACCTATAGCCTTCAATCTTTTACATTAAACATTTAGCGATTAGATAAACTTGGCGGCCCAACACTCCCTACACTCTTATCTCGTTTGACGTCTCATTGCTATAGTACTTTCATAGGCTAGATATGAAATTGCTCCGTCATTCTGGATGGCAATCAGCCCGTTTTTAACGATGCCACGGATACTTCTGGATGACAGGTGGTTAACGGTCTGAGGCATGGGTGAAATCTGTACCGTGCTGAGTATTTCTCCGTTTTTCACAATGTCACTTTTCTTTCAGATCTGCTGTCTAATTTATGTGTTGGAACTGGTCGCAGAGCGAAATCAAAACATCTGAATTACATGATTTTCTTTCAGTAACAGAGAGCTGACGTCCTCCTCCCTCCGTTTGTTAACTACCATGTTTCCGGAGCACTGCCACAACACAGCTGACAATACTGTTGTACTGAAGAGAACGTCTCGAAGTCCAATGTCGTAAGGGCAAAGAAGTGTATTAAAGTACACGCAACATGGTAAAGACAGAGACAATTTTAGCGATGATGATTCTGAAAACGAAGATGATAAGGATAGATTATGATAGTTCTTATTTTGTTGCATCGAGGTTGGTGATAATCATTAAAAGGAGTCATTTACGAGGAAGCAAAAAGTTCCAAAAAAACGTTTAACCATTTAGTTCAATGCTTATATATTGTTAGTTTCTGTTAGAATGTCACGATGACACTGTAAGACAACATATGTATCTCAGTGACCAATAGAGAAAGCACCAGATCATCCTTCGCGCAGGTTAACAAAGGATCTATTCGAACCTGAAACATAAGCTCATTTGAAAAAGTTGCCGGAGTCGTTTTTTCATAGATAGTTCCTAACTAAATTTAAAAAAATCGGTGGTTAACGGAAAACTCAAAAAAGATTATTAAGTTTTTAATAGGCTTCCTGAACTTGTTGCCCCACAATGCGTTCCTTGGCTGGTTGCTTAGAGGCTGAATAAATAAATTTCTTAGTTAAGAGAGTCATGAGTTAACAACGATATATTGGGTCCAGCCAGCGAATGAAACGCTAATCTCTTGATGCGATAGTACCATAGATAAAGTGAACCGCCTCATCTCCGTAGGGACGAGCAGGTATTTCGCGTTTAACGGACAATTGGCATAAATCGCCAGGTTCCGATAACTCGAGTCCTGCAACACGACGAAAAAAAATCAAGTCATCCACCATGAGAACGAACGATGACGCCGTGGCTGCACATCGAGGAACAGTGCCTGGTGAATGGGACGCCACAAGTGCTCATAACAAAGATTTAATTTTTCACCCGACCACAGAAGCCCATGGCATGAACTAAGCTCACAAAGGTGGTCGAGGTTCAATCGGATTACGACAGAACAACGGTGCTGCAGATACCTCATCCACCGTTTGAAGATGAAGTCTAGGCCGCAGCGTGATCAACAAGATCAGAACATGCAACATATCATTTCCGAATGCCGGCTGCAAAATCGACGGCAGCGACTACTGACTGGCTTAGAAATTTCGATATTAAGCTAGCGTTGCTAGTCACTCCCTCCTACCCCTGCCACTCAACAAAAGAATAAGTGGATAATGCAGGATGACATGTCCTCTTATGTCTTATATTGCACATAAACATGCCAGCATGTGTAGTTCAAGTGGAGTTTCGATAGTGACGAACACCAGGTGGGCAATACTTTTATATTTCGACAAATAAACCAATATGCCCTTGATGAAACCTAGATAGTTGAGTGAGTACTTAGATGTATTTGAAAGGAAGATCGAGTAGCTGAAATCCTCGTTCTTTAGTAGTTTCAATAGTAAAAAAAGTAACAGAACCTCGAACCTCGATCTTGTATTTCTCGCACTCCTGATTTAATTGATCCAAGCCGATATAGATATCGTCCGCGGATAAGAGGTTTTGTGACGATTCGCGTACTGGAGCCACTTCCGGATGAAATTGAGACAAAACGTCATCGGTGCGTGATTTACAATACTCGCGCACCTTCGAGTCGTGGTGGATGACGTTTTGCACTTGCGTATCGATTACTAAACAAACAAACACATCAACCAATTGACGAATACCAAAAACTACATTCTGACTACTTTGGATGACGTCCGGCTGCGTAAACAAAAAATCATCTTCCCATTCATCAGCAGCAGCTGCCGCTTCGACTTGAGAAGTGCATTCCGATTCAGGCTCGATTCCGCAATATCTGGGAAATTGTACAAGTTCGTCCAGCACAGGGTAGTTAGTCATCGACTGAAACGAAGTCGACGGCTCAACTGGCATTGAATTTCGTTTCAAGCGTTTTGTAGAGTTCATTAATAACGACTGGCTACTGAAAACATTTCAATAAAGAAAAGCTGAAATTTATTGGAAAACAAAAGGGCGCCAGGGAAGACAGACATGTACAACAATAATACTGACATTGAAAGAAAAAGAATAAAAGTTCATCACCGTTGGAGTGTACGACTTCCTTAATTCTCGTAACTGGATGCTTTCAGTGGCCTTCCTTTCATGAACTTGATGGTGCAGTGAAGACCTTCGTTATCATACCATCAGCCATGAGTGCCTCATATCAGAAAAAGAACTAATTTTGCTTAAGAACGGAGTACTCCATAGTCATAACCATAATCCTTCATCACATGCTATTATTGGTGAATCGCTTTCACGAACGCTACAGACATTTAGGACAACACCGTTTATGGAAATATTCTCTAAGGAACTTTGTTTACTGAGGCTGATCCCACATGAACTGCGTGATATAAACGAAAGCAAACTTAAAGGTAACGTTGAAAACTAAAAATTTATGATTGGCTACTACTGTGATGAAAATCGCGGTTTGCATGAGGACAGATATAAATAGTGGGAAAACTTCAAATGGACGAACTACTGCCAGAAATGGATACGGATTAAGATCATTTATGCCTCGGATAAGGTCTGTAACAGGGGCAAAATTGGGCCACACAGACAAAACCATGCATCAAATCATGAATTCGCAGATTGCTTAGAAGGTACATACATTTTTTCAAACATGTAACATGGACATCTCCGTCGAGAAGAGCGAGCAAGGGCCAAAGTATCGGACAGCTTGGTAGAGCAATGCACGGCTAGAAACATATACTGCTCAATACAATGGTAGCAATGGAGGCTACCAGACCTGACAATAACTTTAGCAGTTGTCTTAGAAGAATATGCTGAGTTTAAACAAGGACAGTAAGACTGGGGTTCGTGGTTGCGATCCTTTATCCGTAGGGAAAGCACCCAAAATATAATCCAAGGGGCAGTACTTCGCTAAGACCTCGTAACTGAAAACCTCGATAAGAGAAAATGATGCAGATTTGATTTACGAATAAGTATATAACGCGTAAAGGTAAAAATGTTAAGTTTAACAAAATCCTGTTCTGACTGTCAAGAGAAAACAAATCAGAAATCAGCAAACAGCGAAATTTTAGAAACGAATATCATGCAGGTGAACAGAATTTAACAAAAGAAAAGAAAAAATCATGAGTAACGTAGTACTCCATGTTCAAGTAAAGCAGTCGACGACTTTGGAGCGCAGTGCTGTCAGGGAAGTTTTATTCGCAATTTTGTTGGTCAGGGAATGCAATATCTATTTCGAAAAACAAGCAAGTTCAATTCGCAAGAAACAACCAACAAAGACTGCAAGTGAAAACGCGAAAAACAGAGCACCGTTCAAAACAAAAACAGCAGAAACACTGCAACATCACAACATTTAAACTCAACAAGATAATTGTCCAACAAGGATAAGTCGAATCACACTTCCAAATAACCCAACGACTTGCCAGCACGTTCTTTGCGCAACTCTTCCCTGAAATATTGAACCGTTTTTTGCAAGCCGTCGCGTACACTGACCTGAAAATCAACTCGCTGTAAAATCTGTTTTCCCAAAAAATACAAATTACATTTACCAACAATCTAGAAAAGAAAACGTCAACATTGGCTACGAAAGGCTTAAAGACATCAATGCTTAGATGCAATCGAATAAAAAAAAATTAGATCTCTTGCGACAACAAAAGGCTTCATCATGTTTGAGTTAAGTCTGACATATGAATAATAAATAACAAAACAATACAATAATGGCATAAAATGTTACATAATACAAATACACCCAAAATCAAACGTGCCAAATAGTATTTGTTTTCACTTCAAAGTGCTGAAACAAATGTAATGAAGAATTTATGAATAAACATTCGTACATCTCGAACTGCAGATGTTCACGAATTTGAAGTGGTTGAGTGAGCGGAATAAGTGAGGCAAAAAGAGTCTGTAGGTGACATGTAACCACAGACACATGGTGTGCCAAAAATTCCACAGTACAACGTGACGCAGTGACAGACGCTAAAAATCAGCATGTTTCCTTCAAAAAAGGTCGCAAAGATGATCAGCTACCGATCAGTTAGAGACCGCTTCTCTGCATTCACACTGTAAAAATGCCTCAAACTGCCTGAGGCACAGTTTAAACAGATCGTCACTACATTTCATTATAGTGTGCGAAGCGCCTCACTATGCAGATGCATCACCGAAAAACGCTACGTTTGTGTACTGCTCCTGTCTGCTCGCTGAAGACCATCCCATAAATAAAAATTCATATTAAATAAATATTTAGACAGTAAAACAGTAAGAAAGTCAAAGAATCTATAGTGTGCGAAGCGCCTCATTATGCAGATGCATCACCCGAAAACGCCGTGTTTGTGTACTGCTCCTGTCTCCTCGCTAAAAACCATCTCATG